CTTCTTCACCCCCCGCAACCAATCTTCGATGCCGCGCAACAGCAGTTTCCAGCATGCGTGCCCCAGTTGAATCTGCATCGTCGCGTCTGGACCTTTCCGAGCATTCCAGGTTTGCCGCATTTGCACCATCCTTTGTTGCCTGTTCCATTCCCAAATCAGGGGGGCGTAAGACCCAGGTACAGGGGACTCGGAAATCCCCGACGAGGTCGTCAAAAAAAATGACGAGGCCGAGCCTGCATTTTGACGAGGCATCCCGCTGCAGACATCCCACGAAACTCCTCCTCGTCAAAATCCGAGGCGCGGTCGTCAAAAAACGATGGCGAACCCGAGTCCTGGCAAACCCGGGTCTTACGCTCCCCCGATTGTTGCCTGTTCCATTCCCAAATGCCCCTGGGGCTGGCTCCTTGCCTCCGCCGCTCGCTCTCCGTTGCCTCGCGGTGGCCCCTTCGCCCGTGCTTGTCGGCGAAGGTGCCGTCCCCCCCCCCTCCTCCTCCTCCTCCTCCTCCTCCTCCTCCTCCTTCCTCCTCCCTCCTCCTCCTCCTCCTCCTCCTCACTACTCCTCCTCCTCCTCCCCTCCTCCTCCCCCTCCTCCTCCTCCTCCTCCTCCTCCTCCTCCTCCTCCTCTTCCTCCTCCTCCTCCTCCCCTCCTTCCTCCATCCTCTTGCTCCTTCCTCCTCCTCCTCCTCCTCCTCCTCCTCCTCCTCCTCCTGTTCCTCCTCCTCTACTCCTCCTCCTCGTCCTCCTCCTCCCCCTTCCTCCTCCTCCTCCTCCTCCTCCTCCTCCTCCTCCTCCTCCTCCTCCTCCTCCTCCTCCACCTCGCGGGCCCGCGGCCTTCGCCCTGGCCTTTCGCTTTCGCAGCAGGGGCGGGCGAATCGATTTTCTTCGTCTCCTCTGTCGGCCGAGTCCTCGTCCGCCGTCGTACTTTGATGCCTCTGGCTTTCGGGTCCACGCTGGGGCCCTCGGAGGCAAGACTGCGAGAGGGCGCGTCTCTCCTCGCCAAATAACTCGCCATGCTCCACGTCGTACCTGACGTCGTCGAAGCTATCGTTGGCGTTTCCTGTGCTTTGACCCTTCCCTGCGCTGCTCTGCGTCCGCCCGGCGCTCGTCTGCGTCGCAGCCTTTTGCAGGCGCTCCTTCGGGCCCGCCTTCGCAGCTTTGTCCAGCATCTTATGCTTGCGCCGTTTAATCTTCTGCAGGCCAAGTTTGCTCTTTTGCCTGTCCAAGTGGGCGTTGGTCAGAATCTCTTCGGGGAACTCGCCAGCAATGTGCGCGCGCCCGCCTGCGTGGAAAAGGCCAGACGAAATGTCGAGGTCCAGAAGGCCCATACCGGTCCTTAGCTTGGCTTGGGGAGCCCCGGCCACTTCACGAAACTTCGCGCCCCTTTTTGCGGCCTTCAGGGAAACTACTCCAACGGATGGACCCCACATGAAAACCTAATTTTCCATGGAATATGTACACTATCAGAATGATGCTGCTCCTGCTGACGCTGCTGCTGCTCCTCCTCCACCTCCTCCTCCTCCTCCCTCCCCCGCTCTCCTCCCCACTCGTCCTGCTCCTCCTGCCCCCCCTCCTCCCCCCCCCTCCTCCCTTCCCTCCCCCATCCTCTCTCCTCCTCCCCTCCTCCTCCGCCTTCCCTCCTCCTTCCCCCCCTCTCCTCCTCACCCTCTTCCCCCTCCTCCTCTGGCGCCTCTTCCGTTTCCTCCACGTCCTCCTCCACGTCCTCCTCGACAAACGTCCATTTCAACCATCTCCTCCTGAAGGCACCGCGGTTGAAATCCCCCTCCCCCTCCCTCCTCCTCCTGCTCGCATGGAACGCCCCTGAGGGTCATTCCGTGCGAGCGGGCCCGCTGATCCCGATAGCCGTCGGAATTCCAACTCTTAGGTGGGACCCCCAAGGGGCCACAAGGGAGGTCCCTTCCGCGCGAGCAGGCTCGCATGGATTGCCCCTGAGGGTCATTCCGTGCGAGCGGGCTCGCTGATGCCGATAGCCGTTGGAATTCCAACTTTTAGGTGCGACCCCCTCGGGGCCATAGGGGAGGTCCCTTCCGCGCGAGCGGGCTCGCATGGAACGCCCCTGAGGGTCATTCCGTGCGAGCGGGCTCGCTGATGCCGATAGCCGTTGGAACTCCAACTTTTAGGTGGGATCCCCTCGGGGCCATAGGGGAAGTCCCTTCCGCGCGAGCGGGCTCGCATGGAACGCCCGTGCATGTCATTCCGTGCGAGCGGGCTCGCTGATGCCGATAGCCGTTGGAATTCCAACTCTGAGGTGGGACCCCCTAGGGGCCACAAAGGAAGTCCCTTTCCGCGCGAGCGAGCTCGCATGGATTGCCCCTGAGGGCCATTCCGTGCGAGCGGGCCCGCTGATCCCGATAGCCGTTGGAATTCCAACTTTTAGGTGGGACCCCCTAGGGGCCATAAGGGAAGTCCCTTCCGCGCGAGCGGGCTCGCATGGAATGCCTTTGAGGGTCATTCCGTGCGAGCGGGCTCGCTGCTGCCGATAGCAGTTGAGATTCCAACTCTTAGGTGGGACCCCCCAGGGGCCACAAGGGAGGTCCCTTCCGCGCGAGCGGGCTCGCATGGAACGCCCCTGAGGGTCATTCCGTGCGAGCGGGCTCGCTGATGCCGATAGCCGTTGGAATTCCAATTTTTAGGTGGGACCCCCTAGGGTCCACAAGGGAAGTCCCTTCCGCGCGAGCGGGCTCGCATGGAACGCCCCTGAGGGCGCTTCCGTGCGAGCGGGCTCGCTGACGCCGATCGCCATTGGAATTCCAACGTTTAGGTGGGACCCCCTAGGGGCCACAAGGGAAGTCCCTTCCGCACGGGCGGGCTCGCATGGAATGCCCCTGAGGGTCATTCCGTTCGAGCGGGCTCGCTGATGCCGATAGCCGTTGGAATTCCCTTCCGCGCGAGCGGGCTCGCATGGAATGCCCGAGGATGATGGTCATGATGTGTGTGTGTGTGTTTCTGTCTGTGTGTGTGCCTGGGTGTGGGTGGGTGTGGCCCGCGGCCGTCCAGAGAAAACAATAACCCCACTGAGGATGTGGGGAACTAGCGACGCTCTGTGAAGTACAAACCCAACGTGGTAGCGCGCTGGCAACAACGCAGTCACAACTGCTCTGTTGCTGACCTCCATGTTGCAGTTGTCTTGGGTGTACTTTGAATGCGTATTTCCTGTGGGTGCCATTTCTTGGTCACTCTCTGGACTTGTCCAGCCACGCCAAAGAACGTTTGAAACCCGCGGGGGCGTTTGAGGTCCTTGAGATATCTTACCTAGACTGCCAAATGCCCTACTCTCTCCTTCATCTAGGTAAAGACTGGATGCCTACTTTGAGCAGAAACCATCACCTTCGTGATCTGGGCGTTCACTTTCGGGTGTATGTGGACTTTCGCTGCATTCTCGACATCGTCCGCCACGTTGGCCATTGGCGCAGGCGTGGGTTCCTTGGCCTGCCGCTGCAAGCCCTGCCCCACAGCTCGAAGACGCTCCTCATACGGGGCGTATGTTGCGGCCTGTGCGTGCTGGTCGCCAGTCTGCACGGCCTCCACATGGACCTTGAAAGAAGCTTCCATGCGGACGATCTTTTGGTCGCGAACATTGTTGCGCTCTTCGTACTCAGCGCGTATGTGAGCAACCTCTGTGTACTTGAGCACCTGCTGCTGCGGTCCCCAAGAAGCTGCGGCCGCGGGGTGAAACCCAATATCTGCTGATTCGCCAAATTCTTTCACCATGGCTAGAAAATGGCACCGTCACGTTCATCCCGCCAGAACAGCATGTCGAATATGAGACCGCTCCCTGAACTTCTGATTGCTTCTCCTGGCGTTTTGACTGGATACACTTGCAACTCAAAGGATATACCAGTTTGCCAAAACTACTATCTTGCGACATGGTGCAAAAACGTTTTTCTCACGGATCGCCAAAGAACAGTGTTGATACATCCTCTGGTGCCACTGTGCAGAACTACTCCACTCCTTGCAGCTCCAGGGTCGCAGTGTTTGCTGAAATGCTGGAATTGCAAACGCCTGGGTGCGCGACACCGCCTTCTTTGCGCAAGCCTCCTGAAACCTGCAGTGGCAACGTGCTTGATCCGCCACCGCGCCTGCAGCAAGTAGCGGAGTACCCTACGGCTAATGCAGCCCCGAGAAATTCAGAGTTGCAGGGTTTTCAAAAAAGCTTAATGGCCCAAACCACCGGTTTCACACAAATTTCCGTGGATGTCTGGGGGGATGTCTGGGGATTCCCGGGAATTTCCGGTGATTGCCGGGGATTTCGGGGATGCCCCGGGATTCTCGGAGCGTGTCGCGCGCGTCCTCAGGCAGCGCAATCAGGCAAACATGGGCCCCAAAAGCGCCCAAGAGGGCCGAAGATGCGACCGAGAAGGCTTCGCCCAAGATCGCCCCAACACGGCCTGGGAGACGTCACAAGAATGTTATCAGAGGCGTCTAAAGAGGGCCTCAAGAGGCACAAATCATAGACTTCCAATTGGTTTTTGAATGCTTTTGGCCTTCTCGCCTTTCCTGCTTTCTGACACTTCAAGACGGCCCACGAGGCCCCCAAGATCGCCCCAACACGGCCCCAGAGCCCCCCAAGAGGGCCCCAAGACGACCCAAGAGGCCCGCAAGACGGCCCAAGAGGCGCCCAAGACGGCCCAAGAGGGCCCAAAGACTGCCCCAAGAGGGGAGACTTCGAACCCTCGGCCCCGAGGTCCTTAAGAGGCTCACAAGAGGCCCCAAAACTGTTCCCAAAAGACCCCCGAGAGCGCCCCGAAGAAACATCCTTGAGAACCCTCACCCACAACCCAGGCACGATGGCGGGATGGGCCGAAGACCACTAGATAATAGCGACACCAATGGGTAGAATGGTAAAAATGATGGTATTCATGATGATGGTCATGATGATGGAAGCTCTGTTTATGGCAGTAAGAATGACGATATTGACGATGCTGTTGCTGATGCTGATGCTGATGCTGATGATGAGGATGATGCTGATGATGCTGAAGCTGATGCCGTTGATGATGCTGATGTCGCTGATGATGATGACGATGGTAACAAGGATGATGATGATGCTGATCCTGATGATGATGATGATGATGATGATGATGCTGATGATGATGATATTGGCACGGAGTGGGCTTGTCCTCATGGCCTTTGCCCAATCCTGTCAGCCTCAATCCTCGCTCCTGAGGGTTCTTAAGGGGCCCAATCCCCAAATTGCCAAATCTCCTTGGATTTGGCGCTTGTCCCCCCGGCCCGTGGCGCGCCCCCCCGCTTGCCTTTTTCGTAATCCACAGGGTCCCTAGAAGGGCCAAGAGGGCCGCAAGGGGACTTCCAGACGGACCAAGAGGGTCTCAAGTCGCCGAACGGTTTTGGGCCAAGAGGCTCCAAAACTGCCCCCAAGAGGTCCCAGAAGGCTCTGCGAAGCGACCCCAGGAAGCATCCCTGCGAACGCTGACCCACAACCTTGGCACGGTTGCGGGAAAGGCCGAAAGCAATTAGATGATGATGATGATGATGATGATGATGATGATGATGATGATGATGATGATGATGATGATGATGTTGATGGTGGTGATGATGATGATGATGATGATGATGGTGATCGTGTTGATGGTTGTGATGGTATTCAAACTGCGGATGGTGATGGTGATCGTGTTGATGGGCGTCTGGTAATGCGGATGATGATGCTAATAGTGAATGTGATCGCGATGATGATGCGGTTGATGATGCTGATGATGCTGCTGATGATGTAGATACCACTAGCGATGATGAAGAGAGCGTGATCCACCGCCGCTTTACTGTGGAAAATTGCCGCCCTTTTTCTCCGGAGCCCGGGGGTCCCCCCCCCTCCTCCTCCGAAAATCCCCCCCCCCCCTGCTGGAACCGCCCCCCCCCTCTCCCCCGACAAAAAACCCTCGCCTCCCCTAACCCCTCCCCCCCCTCTCAACCGAGGGGGTCACTACCGGTTCGAACCCCCCCCCCCCTCGAAAACCGGAGGGGGGGTCACTACCGGTTCGAACCCCTCCCCACCCCCCCACTCACCGCCAGCAAACGACTCCCGGTCCCTACCACCGTCCGCGCCACATCCCCCACTGTTGTTCCCAGCGCCACTGTCCTCACCACCACTGTCCCCGCTGGTTCCACCACCGTCCCTACTGTCCCCACCAGTGCCCCACCACTGTCGCACTGTCCCCACTGTCCCCACCACTGTTCCCACCACGGTTCCACTCTCCCCACTTTCTCCACGGCCCCAACCACTGCCCGACTATCCCCACTGTCCCCACTGTCCCACTGACTCCTCCGCTGTCCCACTGAGCTGTCCCACTGTTCCCACCACTGTCCCCACCACTGTCCCCACTGTACCTCTGTCCCATTGTCCCACTGCCGTCCTCGCCACCGCCTTCACCACTGTCCCCACCACCACTGTACCCTCCACTGCCCTACTGTTTCCACCACATTCCCACTGTCCCCACACCGCTGTCCCCACCACTGTCCCACTGTCCCCACTGTTCCCACCATTGTCCTCACCATTGTCCCCAACACTACCGTCCCCACCACTGTGCCACTGTCCCCACCACTGTCCCGCTGTCCCCTCACCACTGTCCCCACCACCACCGTCCCCACCACTGTCCGCACCCCCCTCGGTTTTCGAGGAGAGGGGGGGGGGTTCGAACCGGTAGTGACCCCGCCCGGTTTTCGAGTTCGAGAGGGGGGGGGGGTTCGAACCGGTAGTGACCCCCCCCTTTTCATGATGAACTGGGGGGGGGGAGGGGAGGGGTTCGAACCGGTAGTGACCCCCCCCGGTTTTCCGGAGGGGGGGGGGGGGAAGAGGGGTTCGAACCGGCAGGGACCCCCCCCGGCTTTCCGCCAGCAGCGGTAGAACACGCTCTTTCCGATGATGGCATCGAACAATTTTCACCCCGTTTCAGCCCCTGCTCCGATACCGTATGAAATCCACTTACACACACAAGGGGTCTATCACCACTCCAAACAAAATACGGGCACGAACAGCTGCGATGAACTGTTGCGGCAGCGCGCGGGAGCGGCAAGTGGCCAGGAGAAAGAGATTATAAAAGTACTCGCATGACCTCGAAGTGGGCATCCAGGCTACTCCACGGAAGCCACCAACAAAACAGACGTGATACGCGACAGCACCGACACTGGGCCATGCTTTGGAATCCCCCACTCCTAATCAGCAGTGAGTGGGAACCACAGAGAAAGACAGAGGCAGGAGAGGGCAAAAGGAAAGAGCCAATGACGTCGTGTGTGTGTGCATTCCCCATGGTCCCAAAACCACTTATATAAGACCAAGCACAACGACAATCAACGAGAAGGCACGTAGCTCACAGTACGCGAAAATCCCATGCAGTGTGCAAGTGATGGAAACATGCCCTAATTTCCATCACGCTGACGGTGGAGACAAACGGACGAGGAGACAGAGAAATATCAGAGAAGACGGGACAAGAAATATAGGGCGCACGAACTCGCAAATTTAGCATAATGATTGTGGAAGCGGGCACCGCGGCGCCCGGCAAACGCGACGCTGCTCCGCAGCGGCAGGAAAACGCGAGCCCGGACGTCTAAACAGACCCAGGGTCGGCCAGCAGCGGCCGTAAGCACCAACGCGCGCTGCCCGTGCAAACAGTGGCGTGGGGGGCACCAGTTCGGAAAGGGGGAAAGGAGGAGGAGGAGGAAACGAGGGGGGAGGAATGGGAACTGTCGTGCTCATAGACTATCGGCCACGCGGCCAGGACCGACGCGGCTGCACCAACGTGCAGCCGAGTGCACGTCACGGAATCGGCGCGCTACCTCTTCGGGGACTCCCGCGGCACAGCGCGGCCGGCTGGGCCAGCACCCAGTTAGAGGAGGGAGCGGAGGAGGAAGGGGGAGGATGGGGAACTGCCGTGCTCGCAGACAATCGGCCGCGCGGCCGGGACAGAGGCGGCTGCTCCAACTTGCAGCGGAATGCGCGTCGCGGACTCGGCGCGCTGCCTCTCCGGGGACTCCCGCGGCAATGCACGGTCGATATGCCGACGCCCACTTCGAGGAGGGAGCGGAAGGGGGGGAGGAGGAGGAGGAAGGGGGGAAGACGGGGAACTGCCGCGCCCGCAACCTATCGGCCACGCGGCGGGGACAGGGGCGACAGCACCAACATGCAGCGGAGTGCACGTCACTGGGCTAGTGCGCTGCGGACAGACCAAGCGAATCGAAAGCAGAGCCCGTTGCCTCGGACGCCTCCGGGGGGGGGGCGCGCGGCTGGCGCCGGCAAGCGGCCACCCCGAGAGGGGGTGACAGCTGAGCGCTGGACGAGCGAGTTGGGCTTCTGCCGCCGCGGTTTGCCCGCTAAGTCCACAAACGTAAAAGCACAACCGATGGGGGGGGGGGCGGAGGAGGAGGGAGGGGGGGAAACAGCCCGCCCAAAGCGGCGCGCCCACGGCTCCAGCTGGAACCCCCCAGGTGGCCTGGAGAAATTGGGCGCCCGAGTTATCCGGGGCAACGCGGGAGAGGGGTAACGCGGGTTTGGATTCCCGAAAAACGAACCCGAGTTAGCCCTGACCCGAGTTACCCCTGATGATTTGGGGCTCTGGACGCCCGAGTTACCCCTGATGATTCGGGGCTCTGAAGAAAGTCAGAAACTGGAGCAGGGCTGCCGCCGAGCTGGCAGAGCAAAAATTCGAATTCTCAAACACGCGGTCGTTCAACAAGGGGAGAAGGAGAAGCAGAGAGGAGAGAGCACTGCTACTGCGCACCGCTGATTCAGGTCCACCTCTGCGCTGCGCCGCGCGCCCGGGCCGCCCGGCGATGGCTGCGGACGGCTTCCCGCAGAGCCTGCCGCATGGCGTCAGCCGCGGCGGGGCCGCGGCGAAGGCGGCCGTGCCCGCATAGGCAATGTGCCTTGTAGACCGCGGCCGTCCGCAGGGCCGTGAGGACCAGCGCGTCAGGAACGCCCATCTGTCCGAAATCCAACCCGAGGAAATTCGCCAGGTGGGCCCCCGGCGTCCCCAGCGGCTGCAGCCCGAGCTCCGTCGCGCCCACCTCGTGCACGCAGTGGCAGTCGGCGCAGTGCTCCAACGAGTCGGGCGCGTCCGCGGCGCAGCCCAAGAGGCAGCCGGGAAGGACCTCGCGGCCCTGAGTGCGACGGGCTGTCGGCCCCCCATTCCACGTGGCTCCCCAGACCGCTGCCCGCGCTCGAGGCGGAACCCTCTTGTTCAGGGTTCGGAGGAAGTGCGCGCCATGCGCTGGGCGAAACTGCAGGGGCAACTCCACCTGCCAACGGCCTAGCTGGTGCTGGACGAGGGGCTCCAGATCTCCTTGCTGCGCCTCCTGTATCCACACTGCGGCCTGGCGCTGGAGCTGCCGACGGACGCGTCGATCCTGTGCCTGCGCGAGCGGCCTCGGGACGTCGCCCCCCGAGATGCGTGACTCCACTCTTGCTGCGGTGACACCGACAGCTCTTGCCTCTGCCACAGCGCTGTCCAGCTGGAGGAGACCAGTCAGCCCGCGCTGCGGATGTGACGATATTGTCCGTCTTGCGACGGCACTCGCAGAGCCGATCCGCCCTGAGACTGACGCCGAGTGCACCCGATGCCCGCGCTTCCAGATGTGCGACGCGCAATTTGGCCGCTAATTGCCGCGACTGCATGTCCACGAAGCCGCGCGGGAAGCCGAGTCGGCGAAGCTGCCGAAGGTCCGCGGGAGCAGCCCTCTGCAAGAGCCAGGGACAAGCAAACCGAAAGCCCTCGACTCGACCTTCTCCCAGCTGGGCGGCAACGGATCCAATTGCAATGCGCTTAAGCTCGCGACCGACGCAACGTGCGTGGTGTGCGCGATAATGGTGAGATACAGACCGCCTCCAGCCGCCCCCACTAGCTCGCCCGTTCCTCCAGCTTGGCCGAAAGCCTCGTAGAAGGGGCGTGGCCGCGACCCGGCCGGAGCTCGAAGCCCAAGTACCCGGCGTGCGAAGCAGCGCGAATTCCCCCCCACCCGGGCTGCTGCTGTAGCAAGTCTTGAAGAACTGTGTCAGGGTTTGCCATGAACAAGGGAACCAGGTACGTCTTGGGCACGTTCAGATGGAGGCTTGAGAGGCGGCCGAACTCCGCGAAGAGCCGATGAAGGACTGGAGCTGCAAGCCGCATGTCTGGAGCCACAGCGGCCGCGTCGTCAGCAAAAACCTGCGAAGTGAGGTCTGGCAGCTGCCGCCGCATGCGCCGGAGCAAGGTGTCCATTGCCACGGCAAACAATATCGGCGACAACGGGCACCCTTGGTGAATACCTGCCCGCGCCTCGAAACGCTCGTGAACTGCCCCGCCCACCGCCGGGCGGCAACGGTTGTTCTGGCACTGGGGGCGAACAAATCGCAGGAGCCACCCTTGAAGACCCACCGCGGCGACCACCCGCAGCAGGAAGGCGCGGGCGACGCCAGGGAAAGCGACTTGGAAATCGAAGAACCATGCCGGCCCAGCGTCGCCTTCCAGTGCTGCCCGCTGCGAAGCTTCGTCCACATCCACCGCGTTGGACAACGTGGAACGGCCTGGCACGAAACCCCGCTGGTCCGTGGATCTGACTTGCGCCAAGGGCTCCTCCACGCATGCCCTGGCCGCGCTGGCAAGCAGCCGGTTGTGGCAATCGGCGACGTTCAGCGGCCTCGTGCCTGCTGGGCGGTGGCCTGCTCCCTCGGGTGTCACCGAGCCTGAGCCCTTCGGCAAGAAGACCATCAAGCTGGCGTTGAACGTGTCCAGGAAGCACTCCAGGCCCGCTGGTTCGTCACCCGACACCAGGCCCTGCAAGGCGGCCCACGGCACATCTACCGCAAGCGGCCCCAATCGTCTGCAGACTGCAAAAAGGAAGCCGTCAGGCCCCGAAGCAGAATTTGGCGAGCGCTTCAGCGCGCGCTTGACGTGTCGACGATGACGGCGCCATTGCGGCGCGGAATCCACTGGCGCCCCAGGGAGCGAATCCTCGGTCACCCACTGCTCCAGCAATGCCCCGTCTACTGGCCGTTCGGAGGAAGCCCCGGACCGGCGCGCGCGGAGGGCAGCGGTCATTGCGTCCGGCGCGGTGAGCACCTCGCCCGCAGGACCAACCACCCCCGCCAGGCTTGTCGAACGGCCGCTGCGAAAGGCGCGACAACGCGCGGTGGATGCGGCCACGGCGTGCCAGCGCTTCTGCCTCGTTCAGCGTGGGAAGCTGGTCGCGCAGGTCGGTGAGCTCCTCTGCAGCAGCGCCGCGGGCCAATTCCAAGACCAGGCCGCGGAAGGGACCCAGGGCGGCGCCCTTGCACCCAGCGAGCTCCATGGGCGACGGCGCCACAGAGCGGAGAAGCGGCAAAGACTGCAGGCGTCGTTGCATCATCCCCACGTCACCCCGCTCCGCGGCGCGAGCGAACGACGCTGCTGCGCCCGCCTGGTCCTGCTTGGTCTCGGCTGCAGGGCGCGCGGCGGTCTCGAAGTGGATGCGGTCCGACGCGAGACGCATGGCCTGGAGGAGCAGCAGCAAATCCATCAATGGCGGCACTGGGTCACCCCCGGCAGCCTGCCCCCGAAGATCTGAATGGGCAGCGGCCGAGCGAAGAGGCCAGAGAGGATTCTGCAGAGCCTCCGCGCGGACGGGCATGGTCCTCCAGGAGCGCAGCGCAAGTGATCGCCCTGTCAAGCTGCCCGACCGCCGACGCGCCCCAGTAGAAGCGGTCCAGACGGCTCCACACCTGGGCATTCTCGTGGGTGAACTCAGGCTGGCGGAGCTCATAGTAACGCCCGGCCTGCATAGAATCGCCGACGCGTCTTGCTCCTCTGCAGCGTCGCCCTGACCAAATGCAACTACGGCGGCCGTGACCGGCCTGTCCTCGGCCGCGACCACCCACTTGAAGCTGGCCGTCATCGTGGAGAGGGCCTTGCTGCGCGGCGACGTGGCGCTGGCCAACGCCAAGCGCATCTGACGACGCTGTCCCTTCGCGTCCTCATTGTCCCGGCCCTCCGTCTCCACGCCGCGCGGTTGCACCAGCCCTGGAGTGCCAGGTGCGAAATGCACCACATGATTGTCCAACGCGCCTCCAAGACCTCGCAACTGCAGCATGGCCGCCCTGCCCAGGACCACATGGACCCACCGGGGCCCCACGGCCTGAAACTGACGAAAGAAAGTATCTCGCACCACGATGCCGGCGCCACCTCGGCGAGTGGTCCCGGGGGGGGCACCGGGAGCGGCAGCCTGGCGGACATGTCCAAGCCACGGTTGCGCCCTCCAGCCCATGCGTGTCCGTCAAGGCAACGGCGCCGTGGTTCTGGATGGTCTTGCCGACGTAGGCCACCTTGTCCGCGTGCCGCTGCCGCTTCCTGGCGAACATGGCGCGGGCGCCTGAAAAGTCCGCCAAGAACGGGAAGAGCGTCTCAGATGGGTCGGTGCTCAGCGGCGGCGGACGAGTGAGCAGAGGCGGCACTGCCGGCGGCGGCCGCGCCGCTCGAACTCGCGGCATCCTCGGGGATGCGGCGGCTGGAGGCAACGATGGACGACTGCCCCATGCACGAAGAGCAGCAGCAGATGACACAGCGGCCGGCGACGGCGAGGCCGCAGTCGCCGCGGGCGGCGGGGATGGCCGCAAAGGCGGTAACAGAGGCGCCCCGGCTCTGATGCACAAAGGCACGTCGTGATGCAACGCCGGGGGGGTAAGAAGAGCTCGACGTGACAACCGCGCGAGGTCCAGCAGGTAGCCGCGATGGCCGTCCTCGTCGAAGACCTCAATTAAACATGCTTTGGCCTGCTCAGCTGCGGCCGGGGGGGCGGCCCCACCCACCTCGACCAGGGCTGGAGGGGCGTCGCTGGCCGGAGGGGGGCCCGCCCGCGCGGCGGCCTCCCCCCCGGCGATTGCTCTGCGGCCCCTGGGCAGCGATGGTGTCGAAGCGGAGCGTCACCAGGTCCATCCCCACCTGGGTCGCTCTCTCGTGCAAGGCCTGCCGAGCACGATCGCCATCCTCGGCGGACGTCAGGTAAGGGTGAATACGGCATGGATCGGCCGTCGGATCGTCAGCCGCCACACGCCGCCAGCAGCCAGGCACCCACTGAGAGCTGGTGGCTGCGGCCGCCAGCCGCACCCCCGTCCGGCCGCCGAGGGTCATGATAATGAGCTCCGCCACCTCCTGCGGCGCAAAACCGAACGACCCAGTGGCCGTGATCTCCGTAGATCAAGGGGACGTAAGACCTGGGCACAGGGGACTCGGAAATCCCCGACGAGGTCGCCAAAAAAATGACGGGGCCGAGCCTGCATTTTGACGAGGCCGCCCGCTGCAGACATCCCACGAAACTCCTCCTCGTCAAAATCCGAGGCGCGGTCGTCAAAAAACAACGGCGAACCCGAGCCCTGGCAAACCCAGGTCTTGCGCTCCCCCGAATAGAGCGGGGCCCATCTGCCGCGCGCCCCAGCGCCGTCGCTGCCGGCGCCCTGGCCGCGCGGATGCGCCCAATGGGGGCTGCCGGAGCAACCCAGGCACGGCCCCCCGAGCGCGAAGGCCGCCCCGTTGCCCGGGGCACCGCGGCCTCTGGATCTGCCTGCCGAGCACCATCTCCCGCTGATTGCCACTGCGCTGCTCTTGCGACGCCTCCGTCGTGACGGTCGGCAGCCGCGGACCAATGCAGGGGGCCTCGGAGCACATGTGGGCGATCTTGACAATCGCCGTGGCGTCGGAGAGCTCCACGAGGAGGGCGGAGCCGTCGGCGTACAGGGAGCGGGCTGCGAACAGCACCGTCGCGGAAGGCCACAGGTGGCGGCGCAATCTGGTCATCAGCATCTGGAGGCTGAATGCCGCAAACGTCGGAGGAAGCCAAAAGTCCACTCGGCTGCGAGGCAATGCTGGGGTGGAACCTGGGCTGTGGCCGTAGCGCCCCACTGCGACGCGGAACGCGGACCCGATGCGCAAGACGTCCTGGACCACCGTCGCGACGTGCGACGCCGGGCAGTCGAGGAAGAAGGAGAGGCTGCATGCAACGCTGCCGAGCGGCTCCGCCACCGAAACCACTTGCGGTAACTAATGGGTCGAATGCGTCGACACCGTGGCGATGAGCAGGCCCCCGGCGGCGTGCTGAGGGCACCCCGCTGAGGTGAGCACCGTCTGCAGCGGCTGCGGCGCGAAGGATTGCGCCTCGACCGCTGGGGCCCACTTGTCGCCGAGAAATGGATGCCAAACCAAATCTCGCATGGTAGCGACCGTGCCGCATCCCGGCCAGACGTCCATTGGGGCCACCAGCCGCAATGGCCGCCCTTCAAAGGCAGATGCCAGGATGCGAAGCCGCGCGGCGAGCAGTCGGCCCAGAGCTGCCGGGGCCAGGGGTGCCCGCGCCGCCAGCCCGACGTGAGGGCGAAGCTGGACGAGCTGCTCGGCCATAAGGTCGCCCCCTTCGAGCCGCTGCTGCAACTTGGGCGCCCGAGTTATCCGGGGTAACTCGGGTTTGGATTCCCGAAAAACGAACCCGAGTTGGCCATGACCCGAGTTAGCCCCGATGAATTGGGGCTCTGGGCGCCCGAATTATCCGGGGTAACTCGGGCCCGGGGTAGCTCGGGTTCGGAATCCCGAAAAGCGAACCCGAGTTAGCCCTGACCCGAGTTACCCCTGATGATTCGGGGCTCTGGGCAACTGCAGCGCTTCCGGCGCCGGCACTACTCGTGGATGCTGTCGCAGGGCGTCCGTCTGCTCCAGAACGCTGGACAACTGAGTGGCCACGATCTCCCCAAGCGACGCCGCGGAATCCAGGATGAACTGCAACCCGGCTGCCGCCAGCTCCCGCCAGCGGTGCAAAGTGCGGCCCTTGTGCCGGCGGCCTCTCTGCTGGACCGCTGGGAGCTGCTCCATGCAGCCAGCATGGGCCTTCCAAAGCTGGTCCAAGGCTCGTCGAGCTTACCAGCGATCCTCAACTGGCCAGCCGGCCAGCTCCGCGAGGGACAGGAGCACCTCGGCGTGGCGGAGGCGGTGCTCCAACGCCGGAAGCTCCGGCAGCGGCCCCTCCATGGTCAGCAGGCCTATCTGGCCCCCAGGGGCTGTCGGAGTCCAGGATGTACATCAGGTCATGCAGCAAGTTGCGCAGAACGTCCAGTGAGGCAGGAGAGCGGCCTGCGAGAGAAGGCGGTCCCTGCCCCGTGCTCTGGCCGGCCCCCGAGAGCACCATGCTCGCGAGGAGCTCGCCCTCCAAGAAGCCGTGGAGCGCCTCCGCGGTGAGGCCCGGCGCTGCAGAGAGGCCCATGCGCGGCTGGGACGCCGGGAGCCGCCGTGCCCATGCCCGCCATGGCCTGCGTCCAGCCAGAGGTCGCATCGCCCTCGCCCGCGGGATCTTCGGCCGCCGGCGGCCCTGCCGGCGGCGGGGCCGCCGCGGCCGTCGCCGCCCCGCTGTGCATGGCGTGCGCCGCGCCGCCGCGCAGGCCGCCTCGCCTGGCAGGGCGGGGCCGTCGACGCCGCGGGCGGCGCAGACCTCCAAGGTGAGACTCCGTGCTTGAGCCAGAGATGGCATCGAACAGTGGTGATGACGATGCTGATGATGATGATGATGATGATTATCATGATGGGTATTCTAATGATACTGATGGTGATGATGATACTGGCACTGCTGATCATAACGCAGATAATGATGATGAGGATGATACGGCTGATGTTGTTTATCGCAATGCTGATGTTAATGTTGATGTTGGTATTGATGGTAGTGATGATGATGCTGATGCTGCTGATGAGATGGTGATACTTATGAGTATGATGATTATACGTATGGTTATGCTAATTCAGATGATGTGTGATGGATGATGGTGATGATGGTGATGATGCTGCTGATGAAGACGATAGCGATGATAATGTCGAAGAACGGTGGTAACGATGATGATAGTGATGATGATGCGGGCGGAGGGAGGAGGGGAGGGAAAGAGGGAGCAAGACTGAGGGAGGAGGCAGAGGCGGGGGAGGAGGTTGAGGCAAGGTTAAGACAGCCCCGAGTGGAAGAGGCTCGCAAGTCTGGAACGTTACCGGCGGCGGTGGGGGCGACGTCGGAGGACCCCAAGGAAGATGAGGTAGGAGATAGGAGGGCGAGAACAGAACGATTGACCTCCCTTCTCCCGTCTCGTCGTCGTCACATTCTCCTCCTGCTCATCCTCCTACTCCTCCCCCTCCTTCCTCCTCCGCATCATGCCAGCTCCTCCCTCCTCCTCCTCCTCCTCCAGCCTCCTCCTCCTGCCCCCCCCCCTCCCCCCTCCTGCCCCCCTCTTCCCGCCCTCCTCTCGCCTCCCCCCCCGCCATCATCGCTCCTCCTGCCCCCCCCTCCCCCCCGGCTCACGGGCCGCGGGGGCCACGTGGGGCGCGTGCTGCGCCGTGGCGACCAGCGCCCGCCCCGTCGAGCGCCCGAGCCGCGAGCGCATGACGAGCACGCGCTCGCGCCACTCGCCGCCGAGGTCCACCCCGCAGCTGGGCGAGCGGCGGACGCCGACGGCGGCCGGCGCCGAGGGCGAGGACGGCGGCGCCGAGGAGGGCGGCGGCGAGGGCGACTGGCACGACGGCGCCGACGGGGAGGAGGAGCACCACGGCGCCGACGGCGAGGACGGGCGACGGCGGCGACCTCCTCGCCTCTTCAGCCTGGGCCCCCTCCCGTGCCTCCCACGGGCGCTCTCGCTCGCGCGGGGGTTGGGGGAGTGCGCGCGCGCGTGGGTGTGCGTGTGCGTGTGCGTGTGTGTGTGTGTGTGTGTGTGTGTGTGTGTGTGTGTGTGTGTGTGTGCATGGGGGGTGTGCGTGTGGCCATTCTCCGCCGCGCCACTGCGCGCGCGACCGCGACGCCAAGGTCTGCGTGTGTGTGTGTGTGTGTTGTGTGTGTGTTTATGCGCGGATTCTGCACATGTCCATAACGGTGGATTGATCGTCTTGTGATCGACTGTTCACCGCTGGCTGCAAACCACTCGCGCGACGGAAGAGATGTGTGTGCGTTTTTTGTTCGAACGTCCCAATTCTCTAGACACACACCTGGCGGGAACCGACAGGGCATAAGCAACCAGATGGAAGCACCAAACAGGTATGGTACGAAGCTGTGCGTCCTGTATCGAGCCTCTGTGGCGACACTCCTGAGATAAGTGGAAGTGCTGCAAGGCATTTGGGGGAAACTTGCAGGGCGAGCCCACTCTCCTTTCGGAGGCCTGGAAATGAGCACCAACACCAAGACAAGGGGGCTGCCTCCACAGGGGGGAGATGATCCTAGATTTCAATGTTGGTGGTAATATTTCGGTCACCTTGGAAGCCAGAATATTACCACCATCACCGAGATCGGGACCTTCTTCCCTCGGTGGAGGCACACCGCCGAGATTGGTGTTGGTGCCAACCTCCAGGCCTGCGATCCTTGGCAGCCGTGCGACGCCCAGCGGCCGAGGCCGAGGGAGGAAACGAGGCGGGGGAAAAGGGACAGGAGGAGGAGGAGGAGGAGGAGGAGGAGGAGGAGGAGGAGGAGGAGGAGGAGGAGGAGGGGGAGGAGGAGGAGGAGGAGGAGGAGGAAACGAGGCGGGGGAACGGGAAACACACACAGGCCGCGGCCTGCGGCAGGGCGCGGCGTGGGCGCCCATCTGGGACGCCAAAGGGGGGCCCCCCGTGCGGCCGTGCGTTCCAGCCCATCGGGTGCGCGCGTGGAGCACGCATCAAAAGGAGCACATCGTACCGTCGCAGACCCGACCGCATAGCCTGCACTATGCGAGATGCTTTCGAAGTCATGGGTTCAGAAACTCAGAGTCTCAGAACGGGGAGAAAAAGAAGCCCATAATGTCGATTCGAATCTTAGGATTTACATTGAAACATTAAGAACAATCGAGACTCTGGCCGAAAACTTGGGTTTTCTTAAGCATCGCCTAGAGTGTAGCCCCTATGGAAGTGGCTAAGCTGGAACAGCATGTTGCATGTAGGAGCGACGGGAGAGAGCAAGGCGCGCGCGCGCCATCTTGCAAAACGTCGCCTGAGCAGAGCGGCATTGAGGTCCTCCTCGTTCCAATCCCTGGGTAAGCGCTCCACCAAGATCGCCTCCTCGGGCAGACACGAACACGCAGGAGTCTGCGGTAAAGCCCACTGTTCGAGCTGAGCGGGAATCATTCAGTGCAGCACGCTATGAGATCCGTATGATGCTGGCAACGCAAAACCACACAGAAGCTGGAATGATGCTGGATAGCACGGAGAGCCAGATGTTCATCGGGAGCGGCCAAGAGGGGGGTGTCCAAGAGGGGGGGGTGCAAATCATGACCGGCGGCATGTGCGCGGCCCAGCGGGGGGGCCTGGGACGTAATGAAATAAGAAGAGGCGCCATGAAATCTGAGGAAAAATCATGGCCCGCGCCATGATATCCACCCCCCCCTAGTCATCACCCCCCTCTTTTCCGCTCCCGAGCAATGCAAAAACACACAGAAGCTGGAAGGATGCTGGGTAGCACGGAGAGCCAGATGTTCACCAGAGTGGAACTAGACGGGGCCGAAAACGCAGGCCAGTGGTCTGGAACGGACCCGACACAACCCCACGACTCCTTCGGGGCGTAAGCGGTTGAGGGGGGCGTTCCATCTTCCCCGTTTCCTCTTCGGGGAGGGGCTTAACCACTGTTCCTTATCGATATACGCCGCCTCTCCACCACATGACCGGAAGCGAACCGGAACCATGGCCCCCCCCGCAATCCTTGGCAAAAGACAATGCAGAATGCGCTTTTGCGGCACATTCCGGATAAAGCGTGGGCACCACGCGATCACTTTGCACTGCTGGTTTTCATCGACAGAGACGAGCGGGGGGGGACCGGAAAATTGCATGCTGGGCGCAGCCCCATCCTCCCTGCCAAGAAGCAATACGAAATACAGCATGCGTTAAGTCGGGCGTGTCCCTGTTCAGGAGGAAAATTCAAAAATAGTATGTGTTGACAATTGTTCATTTTTCGTCCCGAATCTGTTGTAGGAGGACATGCCCGACCTAAAGCACGCGGCAAACACTTGATCATGCGCGGGCTCCCCCCGACCACTCTGCCATGCCATTTGACGGAGTGATGGGAGCGCTCTGGAACGCGCGGCCTCGCGGGCGTCGCGCGCCTGGCTGGCCTGCACTGCTTCCCGATGAATGCCGATGCCTGTGCCTGCCCGTGCTGAGACTCGGGTGTCAGCACCCGTGCCAACGAGATGCCTTGCGCTACGACCCGCCCGGCCTTCCGCCAGGGCGCCGGGCCCCACAGACCAGTGCACCTGCGCCGCGTGCGCCCCGAGACGAGCCCCCCCTGGCCCCCGATGTAAGAATCGGGGATGGACAGACCTCCCTTTAGTAAAACGTGGTTTAGTGAAAACGACCTGAGGCCCAAACCTGGCGGGCTCAAGCCTGGAAAATAACGGCCGCGGCGCCCTCTCGAGAGCCGAAAACGGACAATTCACTAATCGACGTGTCACTGTTGGGGGTTCTGTCCGCCCTCGAAAAAAGAAGGCAGGATCGAGACAACACTGGACCGATACCAGTCGAGACTCTCTGAACATTGGCGGGCGTGGAGGAGGGATGCATCGGGCGCCGCGGCCGCTTCAGAGCGGTCCGGCGCGCTCCGAAGGCGTTCCGGAACGCCGTGGAGCGGACTTGTTCTGGACAGCCAGAATGGATGCGAAGAAAATGGGCATGATGCCCAACAACTAAATGTTGCCCAAAAACGACAGCGGCCGTTGGGGCGGCCGGCTTCTCGTGTTAACGTCTGCGGCGGCGCGGGCAGCGAGTCCCTCTCAAGACGCAGGAACTGCTTGTCTGTCTCTGCACCCACTCTTTCCGCACCCACGTTCCGTCGATCGGACGCCCATTTCCCGTGCATTTGTCGGTTTCGTGCGTGCTTTTTTGGCTCGATGGTCCAGGATGGTCCTCGCTGGTCCCCGCCGAGGAAAAATGCTCACGTCCGAGCGATGCCAAGCCCATTCCGATCGTCCCGACTTGTCTCGCTTCTGGCCCGCCCGCCCTCCGGCCCCCCCCTGCAGGGGAGCCCAGAATCGAATCGATAAGTCGGATCGGCGATCGAAATAAGTCAGATCGGCGGAAATCGGCAGCCGAGTCGGGGAAATTCGAATCGGCGGACATCGGAAGGCCAGCATGCGTCCAATAAGAAATCGGAACCCAAATTGCTGAATCGGAATCCGAGATCGAATCGACTCGGGATCGCAATCCATCGAAGTCGAATCGAACCGAATCGGAGGAATCGAGACAAGCACTGCTCCTGGCGCTCCGACAGCGGCACCTGCTCCTGCGACTCCCGGAAGGAGGAGGGGCGCACCGCCGCCACCGACAGCTCGGAGCGCACCTCGCGAGGCGGAAGCGCGCCGCGCAGCCCCATGCTGCTCGGAGGCCCCTGCCACGGCGGCCAGGGCCTCGTCGGAGGTCGTGCGGAGGACCTCCGGAGGACTGGAGGACCTCCGCCTGACGTTTCTGTCTGGCGGCGCGCCAGGGTGTCCTCCTCCTCCTCCTCCTCCTCCTCCTCCTCCTCCTCCTCCTCCCCACGGCGGCTGTGGCCTCGCCAGAGGTCGTGCGGAGGACCTGCGGAGGATCTCCGCCTCACGTTTTTGTTCGGGGGCGCGCCAGGGGGGGGGAGGTGACACGGCAGGCGGGGCCTCGCAGAAGCCCTCTGACCAGAGGTGTGTGCTGCATCTGCGGGAGAGGCTCCGAGAAAGCGTATCCGAAGGCCCAGAGCCTTCCCAGCCTTCTGAGACGGCCCAGCCCACTTCTCACTCCCCCCTGGGCCCCTGAGCTTGCAGCCGATTTTTCTTCCACGCAGTCTGATGGAGAAGGGAAGGGCGGAAAAGGACGAGACGACCTCAAATCAACTCAAGCCGGATAACAACTGAGCGTCCAGGCAAGCAAGTCTACGGAATAGATGAGCGCGTTCCACTACTCGCAAAGTAACTACTCGCAAATGGCCTGGATCCCCCGCTGAATATATACGATCAATTACATCCAAGCAAACAGGCGTGTTTCGGGCGTTTGCGAGTAGGCACTTTGCGAGTGATGGCAAGTGCTCGTCCACGGAAGCACAAAGCGACAATGCCGACTTGAAGCGCGATGCATCCAACGCCCGAGGCCATGCAACACCAAGGTGGGGGAAGTAGCAGGGTTGAGACAGACGCACGCCTCGAGGCGGGCACGGATCGAGTCGAGACCGCCCGCCGGCCCCCCGAGCACTCGGGGAAGCGGAGATGGGATGGGAGGGAAACTGGGGGAGGGAACAGAGGCAGGGCACGCCGCGAAGGGGAACGAGGAGTTGCATGGGGGAAGGGAGCGCGGGAGGGGGGAGGGCAAGAGGGAGGGCTCGGGAGGGCCGGGGCCGAGGCGAAGCCGGGCGCCATGCCCCGCAGCCCTCGCTCCTCCCGAGTCGAGGGTGGGCGGGGGCACGGGCTCGGGCTTCGCCGCGCGCCCGACGAGTTCTGGGCCCTACGACGCCCCCGCCGTCCATCGAGCTGCCCGGATCGAAGCATGGGGAACCGGGGTCGAGGTGAGTGAGGAGGGGAGTGAGGAGGAGGAGGAGGAGGAGGAGGAGGAACAAAGGAGGAAGGAGGAGGAGGAGGAGGCGGAGGAGGAGGGGGATGAGGAAGAGGAGAAACAACGGAGGAAGGAGGAGGGAGGAGGAGGAGGAGGAGGAGGAGGAGAGGCAGAGAGATGAGGAGGGAGAGAGGGGGGGGAGGAGAACTATAACCAGGAGTGAAGAGCAGGATAGATGGGGAGGAGGGAGAGGAGGAGAAAGGAGCAGGAGGGAGAGGAGAAGGAGGAGGGGAAAGAAGACCGAGGAGGAGGGAAATGAAAAGGAATAGGATGATGCTGCTGCTGAGGAGGAAGAGGAGGAGGAGGAATGTTAGCATGGGGGGAACGGGCCCTGAGGGAAACGGGTCCTGGACCCCGTGGCCTTTCCCGAGGACCAGTTCTTCATCCTGAGTCGTCGTCTGGTACTCCCAGGGCCCCTCGGGGGCCCGGAGAGCCCGGAAGCGGCGAAACACAGCAGGACCCGTTTCCCCCAGGACGGGCTCCCCTCACGGCGAGAGCACGACGAGGAGTCAGGAGAGCCCGGGTCCAGACGGAGTAAGTCCAGACGGAGACCAACCACTCCATGTGGACTTGCTCCGTATGGACTGAGCCTCCTATCGGGAGAGGCTGCGTCCAGACAGAGTAAGTCCATTCGGAGAACGAGCGCTCCCTATGGGACTTACTCCGTATGTAGTTAGCCTCCGCCGGAGGTTGAGCAGGGACCGACCGTCACGGCAGTCCTATAGGCCCACCACGAACTCTTCTTAGAACCCCAAAATGCTTTAAACACAACAAGCTTTGTCCTCATACCACAGGCCCGATGTGTCAAAACAAGGCAGACCTGGTCAGGAAGGCTCTTTGGACATCTCGCGCGCACCACAGGAGGCCCTTGGAACATTCCTTGGTGGGCCTGTAGGCAAGCCGGGACGCCTCGCCACTGCTCCCATATGGGGTGGTGCCGGTGGCACCGCTGGCGCAGGCGCCCCTGGAGCCACGGCGCTGGCGGCACACCGCCCGCCGAGGCCGCCCAGAGGCCCGCGGCGCGGCAGGGGCCTCGCCGGCGAAGGCCCTCTTCCTCCTCCCTCCTCCTCCTCCTCCTCCTCCTCTCCTCCTCCTCCTCCTCCCCTCCTCCTCCCCCCTCCTCTTCTCCTCCCTCCTCCTCTCCTCCTCCTCCTCCTCCTCCTCCTCCTCCCTCCTCCCTCCTCCCTCCTCCTCCTCCTCCTCCTCCTCCCTCCTCCTCCTCCTCCCTCCTCCTCCTCCTCCTCCTCCTCCTCCTTCCTCCTCCTCCTCCTCCCTCCTCCTCCTCCTCCTCCTCCTCCTCCTCCTCCTCCTCCTCCTCCTCCTCCTCCTCCCTCCTCCTTGTTCCTCCTCTTCCACATCCCCCTCCGCCTCCGCCTCCGCCTCCGCCTCCTCCTCCTCCTCCTCCTCCTCCTCCTCCCTCTCCTCCTAGCCATTCTGGCACAAGTTTTATGTTTGCTGCCACTGACGCTTTAGAACGGCTGGGTGACAGCGAGTCATTATGGTTCGGTCTCTCAACGCTGAGATTCAAGATTGCGCGACTGCCTTTCACCCCACCATGGTGCCGCCGCCCAAACCCTTGCCTTGGGTGGAACGACCGCGCCCGAGCCCGAGGGTCCGCTTCGTCCCTGGCAGCGGAAGCGAAACCCCCAGGGCACGGGGGGCGGCCCGCAGACGATGTGGAAGTGGAGCCTCTCAGACTGCGGGCGCGCAAAGAACATGGCCCGTGCAGAAGTCGAAGCAGTTGCTCACGTTAGCCGAGAAGTTCGGTGACAAGACGGCTGCTGCTCAATATCACACGTGGTTGGCCGCCAAGAAGCCGAAGGAAATCCCACCAAAGCCCCTAGAGAAGCAAGCGAGGAGGCTCGTCAGCGAGTCCAAGGCCTCGAATGCCGCCTCAATAAGGATATCGACGACGTCGCCAGGGCCAATGAGTGTTTGCAGGACTGCGAGGCAGCCACAGCCAAACTCACGGAGGAGTTGGGGGCCGCCGGCAAGGCGCACAAGCTGCTCGTCGATCGGGTTCATCATGCTGTGGTTCATCCTGCTCCTGTTCAGAATGCTACTGGGGAGCTCTGTCTTCGGGATATCCTCGACGGCAAGGAAGGAGCTCTCACTATTGATTACGGAGACGGGGTCCTCGGAATGGACTCCAAATGATACGAGTTATCCCCCGACGATATTCTGCAGCTCGAGCAGCGCAAGAAGGAGCACGAGGCTACTGTCGTCGCCGTTGCCAAGCAGTTGTTCGCGCAGATCAGGGAGTTTGTCGACGAGGTCAAGGCCTCCCACCGCGTGCACATGGCCAAGCTTCACAAGCGTAAACCTGAAGGTCCTGATAGTCAGCCTGCCGAGAAAGCAGCGCGCGCAGCAGGAGATTCAGCTGCCGCGCCTCCCGCGGAACGTGACGGAGCTGCCGCCGCCGCGGGCGGCGGCGCAGGGGCCGCCAGCGGCGCTGCAAACTCGAGGCCGCTCTGTTTTCGTTTCCGTGACCTTTTTTTATCTTGGGGGCTGACTTCCAGATGGAGCCAGATGCGGTGGCCGCGCGCGACCTGGCGTCGGCACTCAGTGCCAACCTCGTGGTCCCCGATTCTCAGGGCACCTGCATTGGCACCAGCAAAGACGGGGCGCGCATGCTCGATTACTTTCTGGTCTCCAGTGGGCTGTCTCAAGCGGCCGAGTCCACTCGCGTCTGCCTCGAGGCGGCCACGATGCCGCGCAAGCCTGTGCAGATGAGTTTCTTCCCACAGTTGGCTGGTCTTCAGGCTCTGGGATTTGCCAACCCACCACCCAAACCATTCGAACCAGCTGTAGGTTCCGCCCCTGCACCCCAAGACTGGAGCGTTGTTTTGGGCTGCGCGTCCTGCAATCTTTCACGGCGTTCCGTGGTTGGCAAGGACCGTCGCGCGGCGCGCTGGCCAAAACTCTATGGTGTTCGTTGCTTCGAGAGTGCCAACCTCGCTTCCAACGTCAAGGGCTCGGCGCACGAGGCTGGCCATTTCCTCCTGCGCCCACCTCTGGTGCTGTTGGACAGTATGGAAGTCTGCAATGCAAATTTCGACAAGGTGCGGCACTTCGTCCGTCGTTGCTTTGATAGTCACCTTGTTCCTGGTCATAGGGGTCTTATTGGACAGGGAGCTCCAGGAGATGAGGTTGCCGGGTTTGTCTCGGACGGGGCCCTCCTTCTGGAAGATCTCGGAGTTCCCAGGGGAGTTCTCGGTCGAGCAGCGGGACCTGGCCAACAACTCCTGGAGGTCGTGGATTCTCGAAGGCGCCGCTAAGAGCGCCCGCCGTGCTCACTGGTGGACCACGGAAGTTGCCTCATGGACCCCCTCGTCTACGCTTTCGGCAAAAAGCGTCGTCTTATCTGACTCTCAGCCCCGGCTCGAGTCGGGGGCTGCTCGTTTCAATGGATTGTTGGACCCCGGTGTGCATCAAGAGCCTCTGCCGTTCGAGTCCCCCGACGTCTTGCGCGAGATCGCTGGGTCTTGCCCCTCTCGCACGGCTGCCAGTGTGGATGGCTTCCGCATGCGTCATGATGCTGCTCTTACGGACAGTGGTTTGATTGCGTTGATAACTAACTATGCACAGCATCATGGGGGCCTCTTCCCTCTTACCTGACCACCTTCGCACTATCCTCGTGTCGTTGCTTCCCATGCCGGCAAGAGGGTGGAGACCCATTGGCTTGCGTAGTTCAGCTCGTCGGCTTCGGGGTCGCCCCCGTCGGACTTTCGCCGCGCAACGGGACGCCCGTTTCAACGGGTCTTACTTGAGCGCAGGTGCATTCACATGCGCAGGTGATGTCGCTTGGCGTCAGGCTGCGAAGTCAGAGGGCGCGACGGGCAATAGTAATGCGAAAGAAATGACAAGCGCCGCGCTGCGGAACTTGCACAAGTTCTACGAGCCCATCCGACTCGACATTCTCCAACGGCGGTGCGACGTCTTAGGCTTCCCTGCGCCTATTTCTCGCCTGTGCATGTCGGCTAATCGTGGTGCTCGGTTCCTCAGCGTCAGCGGGGCTGTGAAATGTGTGTGTGCGTGTGTGTGTGTTTTTTTTCTCGCGCGGCGAGGCGTTGTAGCAGGCGACCCCTTCGCCACCATCTTCGCGAGAGTGTGGGCGACCCCCGCGATTGACCTTCTTCCACGGCGTGCGCGTGAAGCTTTGGATATATATAGATAATATATATATATACATATAGATCTATAGATAGATGATATGTCTTGCAAGCAGCCGGTTCTGCTCGCTCAGTAGTTGAGGATGTCGTAACTGGAGCCGCGCAACTTTACTCTGTTTTGTCCGACGGCGCGCAAGTTGTGGTTTCTGAAGACAAGACGCCGGCGGCGCGCCCTGATAAAGGCCGCGGGGGCCGCGGCCAGAAAGTTGTTGGAACATCTGGGGGTGCCAGAGAACACTTCCACCGCTGTCAACTTAGGCGTTGACGGCGCGGCTGGCCGCCCCCGACGTTAAGCTGGGAGGGGCCGCAAGTGCGCCGTTAGGCGTGGGGTTTCTTTTTTCAGCAGCGAGTTGCCCGTCTCGCGTCGGGGCCCCTGCAGGGCGCCGCGCGCGGTTCTGAAGTGCACGGTGTTTCCAATTGCGAACTCCAATGGCTTCACTAAGGACTTTGCCGGGTGATGAAGCCCTCAGCTAGTATGAGATCCCTCGCGTCACTGCTCATTCTTGAGAAGGGCCCGACGGACGCTGCCGCGGCGGCCCCCGTCATTCGGCGCAGCGAGGAGATCTGGGCCAACCGGGTCAGGATTTTCAACTTCCCTGGGACTTTGAATTCTCGCGCGGGGCTTCGACCAACATATTTCGCCCCGATGCTGATGATTCCGAGCTTACCTGGCGCGCCGTCTCTGGGCCTATCGGGGCCCTCTCTCTGCAGCGGATCCAGTTGGACACGCAATCCCCCGCTGAGCTCACGAACGACTTCGGAGAGGTCATCGGGCTCACTGTTTTCTCCCTGGCTTTGGTTGCAAAACTTTTGGTGGAAGGGGTCCTCCGTCAGCTGCAGAGTCTCGGGCCCCGGCTCTCGGCACAGGTGAGCGTCTGTGCTGCGATGTAGTGGAAGCCCAGCTTCGCTCCAGCTAATTCTCGGCCCCCGGAGAAGGGCTGCGTCCGTGGGCTTAGTTGCGGAGCGACTTGGACCATGGATCGCGCGATTGCCCTCGGATATAAGCTCGATTCTGATATGTGCCCGCCCTGTCTGGCCGCCCCTGACAGCTTGATGCATAGACAGCGGTTCTGCCCCCATTGTCAGTCGGATCGGGAAGAGCTCGTCATGGACCGGATCCAGGAAACTGCTGGGTCGTGCGATGCTACAGGTCCCGCCCTTACTGTTGTACACTACGGGTCTTTTCCCACGCCCAGGTGACGAAGTGCCTCGTTCCTGCAGAGATGGCGGGATCACCGCCAGACGGGAGGGAAAGCCGGATAGTGGACGCAGCTGTCTCAGGTAACATACTCATGGACGGGAGCTGTCGGTGCCATGTCACCAAGGAGCTATCTAAAGCAAGCTGCGGGGTTACAGCCCATAGAGACGACGGCTCTAGCGTGTTTAACGTTTTTGGGCCTCTTTGGGGCCCGCTCCCTGAGACCAGCCAAGCTGGGGAGTATGGTGCCCTTGAAGCCTCCTCTCAATGCAGTGTTGGTCTCTGTGTGGGTTTCTCCGACCGTTTGAATGTTGTTCGTGCCCTTCAAAAGCCCCGAGCCCTCAAACTGTCCCGCAAAAGGCCACATGCGGGACTCATGTTTTCCAACCATTGGATTGAACTTCTGCACAAAGTCATGGCTCATGCAATATACTCCGTGGACCTGTCTGAGAGGGATAGGTTCCTCAAGGCCGGCAATGATGCTGCCGACGAGGCAGCCAAATCTGGCCTAGCTGCCCACCCTCGGCCGACAGATGAGCCGCATACTGATCTAATTCACAAATTTCGTGTCCCTAAGGCGGTCTGCCTTTTGGCCGCTCGGAATTTACCTAAGTGGCCTCGCCTCGACCTCACCGGGGTCGAGTTGGCCAAGCCCCCATTCG